GACAACTGCAAGTGTCCAGAGTGAGGACAGACTGAGGGACCCACTGCTGCACATCATCTGTGAGGCTTTGCACCCCTGATGATCCACCAGGACAAACTCAGCAGTGTGTGAGGAAGAGGAGGAGGAAGAGCCAGCAGCAGCTGACAGATGGAGAGAATAGACAGACTGTTCCCTGTTTGTGAAGGACTGCTAGGAAAGTTTAACATAACTAACTGTCTGTCCTGAATCAGTCTTATTAGGTAATGTTCAAATAATTTTATCATCCCAGTGTTTTCAGTGTGGGAGAAAGTACTCAGGGCCTTCAAGTTACACACTATGAAAGGCAGCAACAAGTTTAATGTTCAGACCCACCCATTTCACAAGCCTTGCACTTCCGACCTTCTCGGTCTTCCAAGGACATGGCCCACGTAGACCGCGAAGGATGAAGACACTGGTACAGCCATAGTGTCTAAAATGTAACCTTCCAGCCCCCCTTCAGTTGGAATATTGGGCAACTTAGATTGGTGGTTCTTGGTGTTTGGGGCTGGGTGCTCAGGTGTCTACTGGCTCTGTCAGCCCCCTTCTGGGAGATGGGGGGGGGGCCCTGTGACTTTAAAGCAAAGAAAATAAAGGAGCTCATCAGTGACTCATGGAGCACATCCTCAAAGACATGTGCATGGTTGAGGATAATGCATAATCAAGTGTTTGAAGTTCAGACCTGATAAACTTGTTTCTTTACAGACTTTAATAAGAAGAGCTAACAGTGGTTGAATTATCTCAGTGTGCTGTGATAATGTTAGCAGACCACAGCGCTCTGAGCTAAATCTTTCAGTCTGTCAGTATTCGCTGTGGTTCATGTTTCCAGTACACAGAGTCAGAGATCTGAGTCTCTGTCTCTGCGGTCACTTCTGCTGAGGCTGAAGCATCATTAACATGCATGTTTAAACACACGTTATGAAAGCAGGTACACGCCTCGGTGGGATGAGCTGTTGTCACACAGTACGTGACAGTCTTGAGAAGATCAGCTCAGCTCTGTGCTGCTGTCTTTGTTCTTCTCTGTTTGCCCTTCAAATCATCTTCTGTTGTTTTTGTCTTTAATGAAACGCCCACGTTAAACTGAACTGAACCATCGATCACATCCTGCAAACGCATTGTTGCACGGCCTGATGAGAGAGGATCATCTCTGCATCTGTGTGTGGAGCTTCTTCATTAGTTTGTAGTTTGGACAGTTTCACCTGTCTTTGTGACCTTCAAAGAAAAGCTATTAAACTTCTGACACTGGTGCTTTGGTTGAATACATCAGCCACCCTGAATCCCATTAATCACAATTCCTACTAGAAATATTTCATAAAAGTCAAACAATTATTCTGGGGCCATAAAAGGTCAAATGTGGGCTCTGGGGGTATGAAGTGACTAGAGGTGGGTGAGAAGGCATAAGATTAGAATTTATGATTAAAGATCTTCTAAGCCATGTTTTTAGATGTAAAATGTAGAAACGTTTGGAAACAGCAGATAATGAGCTTTTTTAAAATTTTCGTATTAAACTTAAGTAATGACAGAGTGAAAGCAACATTATCACTCTGCCAGTCAGTCTGTATCTCCACCTCACCCTGTGGTCACGAGCCAACGAGAGATGCTAAACAGCTGCACTCAAACTACAACACCAGCGTTCAGCTGAACCAGGTCTGTTTTAAAAATGAGACACTGAGTCTCAGCAGGACTACCTGTGGCATCAAAAGTTAAATAATAAAAACGAATGGCTCTCCTTCGATCTGCAAAGACTCATTGGAGTTCTACCTCTGCTTCTTCTCTATAGCACAGCTACATGCTAACCACACAGTTCTCTAAGAGACGTCCTGTTTTCTGCGCTGTAACTTGAGGTAAACCTACGTCGTTGTGTTGACACAATCTTCAAGTTTTGTGATTGGTCTATTCCATACAGCCGACTCTGTTTTAATGGATGAGTGAGAGAATAGCTTCAAGGATGAGGAATAATAATCACAGTATAAAGACTCACAGATGGCAGAATCCTGGAGGGAGATTGCTGAAAGTGCTGGAATGAACCTGAGCAATGAGCATGTTTCAGGCTCTACAGAGACACAGACACATCAGACACTCTCAAGTCTTTCTGAAGCATCGTCTCCAGGATTAGAGTAACTGCTATCATCAGCACCCTCATAACCAAGGCACAAATATCATATTAGACAAATACAACCTGAGTAAATAACCAATGCAATTTTTAAAATGAGAATTTCATTTATTAAGGCAAAAAGTTATCGAAACTTAACCAGGCGCTGTGTGGGTGTGCTTCTCATCAGTGGAGCTTTTGCTCAGGCAGTGAAAGTGTTAACAGGGAAGTTGTGAAGCCGAAGACGTCTACGCTGCTCAGACTTCAAACATTCAGTCACCATGAAGACCCCGTCTGCCTCTCTGCTCCTTGGTGAGTCAAATGTTTATCTACTCATTGATTCATGATCTGAGCTTCAACACACACTCGCAGAGGAAAAAACACATTTACATTAGAAATAGAGGACACCAGACTATCATCAGACTTAACTGCATTAATTAGAGATGGTATTCATTAGAAAATACCAACAATCGTGGGCCAGAGCTAATAATAACTGAAATCAGGTGTTTTTAATCTTATGACCACAGGTGTATAAAATCCAGCAGTTCCCATGCAGACTGCTTTTAGAAACATCAGTGAAAGAATGGACCTTTCTAAAGAGCTCAGTGAACACGAGGCTAGTACTGTAACAGGGTCATACCGTTGAAACACGTTGGTTTGTGAATTTTTTTTATTCTAAATGTTGTCTAAGGAGCTTGGAAAGAGCGTCTGGACTTCTTTAAGTTCCTTTAAGGTGTTTCATCCAAGCAGCTTCTTCAGTTCTTGGGTCAAATGGTGGAGAGTGCCAGATTTAAGCCCTATGGGACTGTATCCCCAAGAGGGACATGGACCCTATTGATCCTAATCACATGAGCCAAGGTGTGAAAACGGGTGTAGGTCACAATCAGCCCAAGTAGGGACAATGCTCTCCCTAATTATCGTCTACCTAATCGCATGAGTCCAAGGTGTGAAAACGGTGTAGTCACAATCAGCCAAAGTTTCAGGTGAGCTCATTGTGAAACCAGCCCCACCCTACAATGTATTCCAGGCTTACACATGGCCCACATACCACAACGAATTGGTGGCCCACATCAGGTTTGCCAGAGGTGGCCCACACATGGGCCAGCACAAGGCCAGTTGCAGACACACTGGTGGCCAAGTGTGCTGACAATCAAGCCAAACACCAACATCATCAAATATACAGTTGAAACCAGATATTTACTCTTCAGATAAAAACACTTTTTTAATTGTAACATCAAATCAGACTAAATGTTTATTTTTTTAGATAAATATAAAAAACATATTTGTTAACTTTAAGAGTAAAGAGAGAAACTATCTGTATTTCTTAATTGTAAATGGCACCAAATTGTATTCAAACTGAGCCACACTTATGGAGCTCCACAGTTCTGTTCCTGGTGTTTTGGTTGACATCTCTTGATGTTCCCATGTCACAGAAACAGGCTCTGTGTTTTGCCTTATATGCATCCACAGCTGTGCCACCAATTTACTCACATGGACTCTACGAACCTATCAGAAGCTTCTTCAGCTCAGAATGGAATCGTCTGGAGTTTTCTTATTAATTAACAATAAACTTAGTGTACATGTACTCCTACATTTGATGAAAGTGATAGACAGCTCTGTCTCTCTTTATTCTGACATTTAACTAATTCAAAAGATATTTCAATATTTTATCTAAAACAAAAGTTTACTCTAAATTGATGTTTAAAGTAAAAAAAATCTTGTTTTGCATAGATATACTAAACAACATCCAAAGCATAATATATAAAATAACATCTACCTGAGTTTTTTCTTTGAAAGAAGCTCCTTATGTCCATTGTTGTGTTCATCAGTACACAACTGAAACCGATTTAGAGAGTTTGTTTAGCCGTGGAGGGTAACAACTGAAAATATGAAATGTAAGCTAAGACTAAAAAATCAGCATTGCTGTTCGGCTTTTTATTTATCCATTTGTTGATTCACTCGAAGAGCAAGTAACGCAACCAAGTGATCAGTTTGATATCAATCTTTTGTGATACACCGTCATATTTACATTATTAGTTCAGTACGAATGATTTGCTTTGGTACCTGGTCAAACTTAAGCTCTCCTCTGTCTGCAGCAAACTCGCAGGCAGCAGCTTCTCCCCCCTCGCTCACATGGGTGCTGCGCTCAGTCGCCTAGTGCCTGAGCTCGGATCATACCAAAATTAGGGGGAATTTACGACGGTGCGCTCTGTGCTTCGTGTGTTGTTTTTGTTTTATACAGTTGTCAGTCAGGCATCTAACCTGAAACAAATTACACTCCAAAAGACCCCGGGCTTCTGCCCAGTAAGCCACCCCCCTGCTCCACCGATGGTTGACATAAATAGTGCCATCATTGCCAGACCTGGCCCACATCTGGTTGACATACACCCTGCCATGACACCAGTCAGTCAGAAGTGCCAGCTTGATGCCGGATCTGGGCCAGACCTGTTATCTATGAGCCTGGGTCACATAAACCAAACCATAATCGAGCTAGATGCGGCACGCCTCTGGCAGTGTCATAAACAGTGCCATCATTGTCAGACCTGGCCCACATCTGGATGACTTACCATGCCAGACGTCAGCCAGCAGTGCCGGCTTGACACCAGATCCGGCCCAGACCTGTGTGCTATGTGGGAAGTGAAATGATTTCACAGTTTAAACATTTAGTAATTACAGCAGCTCAGCCAGGAAGTATCAGACCGGTATCCACGGTTACAGAAGATAGTCATCGAGTCCCAAGGCACATGGTGTGAAAAGTCAGGTGAAAGGCGGAGCTCCAAACATCCTCTTAACATCAGACACTGTTCACCAGAAGTGTCATCAGAATAAGTTTTTTTTTCTTTGGGAAGTGAGAAGACTAACTGCTGTAGTTTGAAAGCTAAATTATTCTCTTGATATAAAAATAGAAACTGCACAAAAAGCTCACATCCAACATTTCTGAGCCTGAAAGAAGAATGGCTCATGCAAATACCAAATTCCCTTGGAAGACCCTTCCAGGGGTAACTTGTCCCTAATAACCAATGACCTCTGACCTTTAGTGACCTCTGACCCTCAGTGACCTCTGACCTCCTGTTACAGGTGTGTGTGTGCTGCTGCTGTCTGCACCGACTGTTTCTGCAGGTGAGTTGATGGAAGTGAAAACCATCAGTGAGACTCCAACAAGAACACAAACACACTTACTGTGTGTGTGTGTGTGTGTGTGTGTGTGTGTGTGTGTGTGTGTGTGTGTGTCCTCCAGTGTCTCTGTCTGTCAGTCCAAACCTTCAGCAGTCTTCAGAGGATCTTCTTCAGTGTCTCTGAGTTGTGTTGATGATGGACAGACAGCTGATGGATGGACAGTGAAGAGGAGCAGAGGAGGACTCACTGAGGACTGTGGAGCAGCTGCAGGCTTTGGGAGGGTTCATGGTTCCTCCTGTGTTCTGGATCGCTCCGTCTCCTCTGGGGGAACGTTACTTCTGTGAGAACTCATCTGGACAGCAGAGCGATGAAGTGTCCATCAGTGTTTCAGGTAGAGACAGAGAGATGTTGCAGCTGTGTCTCTGTGCAGATGTTTCCAGATGCTGGATACATGTCTGTCAGTGAGCTGAGAGTGTGAGACTGTCACTGTGGAAGTCAGCGAGGTGCTCATTAAGACAGGAAGCAGCTCGTCTGAGAGGAGCACTTGACTTTGCTCTGTTTGTGTTTCTGTTGTCAGATAAAGGTGTGATCCTGGAGATTCCTGCACTTCCTGTGTGGACAGGAAGTGATGTCACTCTGCGTTGCAGAGAGAGGAGCGGTGACACAGCTGCTACTTATTTCTACTTTAATGGACGTCATGTTGGACCTGGAACAGCAGCAGAGCTCGTCATCAGAAGGGTCAAACAGGCTGATGAAGGTCTCTACTCTTGTGCTACTGAAGCATTTGGACCGTCTCCTCAGAGCTTTCTGAGGGTCAGAGGTCAGAAGAGTGACATCACTTCCTGTTTACAGACATGATCTCCTGATAAAATGATTGAACCATCTGCATCATCTCTCCTGCAGATCCTCCTCAGCACAGGAGCTCAGACTCCACTCCTCCTGTGAACTCTTCTGCTGACACTGCTTCATCACCTCCTCAGGGTCTCACCTCCTTTCTCACTGCACTCATAGCAGGCCTGGTTCCTGTGGTTCTTCTGGTTCTGCTCTTGGTTCTAGTTCGACTTTTTTTCCACTGCAAAAAGCAAAATGAAGCAAATGGTACGACCTCTGTCACATTGACTTTATATCTTTTATTTTTTATCACAGCAAGGAGCCCAGCTGCTGCAGTCTGAGGCCAGATGTTTCCATTTTGGTTGATCTCAGCTGCTCCTTTAAGAGAACTTTTGGTTTGATAAAGCTTCAGATGTTTCAGTGAGTGAAACAGCTGGACTACAGGCAGGCTAGCTGAGCAACCAGACTTATTTCCTATCCAGTCATATTTCTGAAGTGTGATCACACTGAGGTTTGGAAACATCTGACTGAAATGATGGAAAGAGGCTTGAGGTTGAGGGTTTCTGTTGTTTCCTCTGAAGGCTGTCTGCTTTGACCTCGGGGTCAGTTACCTTTGTCTGGAAATGGCTTCAAGAACCTTCCCACAATGTTAACAAATGTGTCTCTAAAATCACTGCTGTCTTTATTGTTGGTATTGTGTTAACACACAGCTGAACGCTCCAGACCACCAAACTGCCAGAACATCTACTTCATTACAGGTGAACCAGAATCCGTCAGTGTGGCTCAGCATGAGTCAGCATGTTTGAGGTTCTGTGCAGACTGCAGCCGATTACAGATTTGAAACATCATCTGTTTGTGTTTCCTCTGCTTGTAGTTGTAACATGACCTGAGTGTGTGTTTGTATTTTCCAGATACACATCAAGCTGATACACATGTTGTGTACTCTGACGTGAGGATTCTCACTGCAGGTACCAATGAATCAAATGAATTTTGTTAATTTTGTTAGATTTTTTTTCATAACAATAAATGTGCAGCACAGCGGAGAGAAAAACAGAGCAGATCAAGGAAGAAGGTAGGAAATACAAAATGTAGTCAGATTAATGGGGCTGAACACAGATTCACACCACACTTTACAGGATGAAGGGGTATAAATGCTTTTTCAAGACACTGTACATAGAAGACAAACATCTGGATGGGAGTCCAGCAGCTGAGCCAAGACCTGAAGGGGGTCGGTATGAGAAAGTGGACTGTTGGCAAGAGGCGAGTCACAGTTTAACAGGTTTAACATCACAGAATGAGGATCGATGAGAGACTTGAGGATCACGACGACTGGGAGAAAGAAACTGTTCTGATGG